ATCCTGGTTGTTATTATTGGTGAGAATAATATGATGTGTATTTGAAATGACATATATTATAACATATCTAAATAGGATTGGTTTAAGTTCCTGGGAAGCATTTCGTAGGTCATTATTACGGACGATGAATTATAGTGGGCCTCTGGCATCTTTATGTTGATAGTTTGGCTTGATAAGGTAGTTTTATTGATAGTCACATGCTCACTTGTACCTGTAAGGTAGAACGTTATGTAAATATGAGCATGGCTTCTGATTCCATAATGTTCTAGTCTCAGCAGAAAGATGGGGTTTCAAGTGCCCAAAGTTTTTCTTAGACCAGTAAAAAGGCCTATAGATATTCAATATTTCGAGTTAACTATTTGTCTGGTATCTATATGAAAGTATCTTAAATACTTTCCTTATGCCTGAAGCCAAACTTGCAAGGATTAAGATTATTTTGTTTGGTAATAATTACGTATATTTGTTTCTATATCATCTTTCTGTATCTTCTGTGGTTGATGATTTCAGCCTAATCACTACCTTTTTAGATTTTGGAAAATATATCAGGGATACTTTTGGTTTCATGATAACGGATTTGCAATGATACGTGATAATGCATGGGCAGCTTTATTATATATGGATGGTGATATACTCGCTATATTATTTTCTTTACTTTCAAGTGCATTGAATACTGAAACTAACAAAAAAAATTATTGGGTACAAGTAAAAAAGCTATGGCAACTTCCATTGAAGCTATAACTAATCTAAGCAATCTAGTTTGATATTTTGCTAGCAAAGTTAGTTTTTATAGTTGAGAAGACGAAATTAAGCATATTTATTCTATCAACAGAATGGATGGGAAGTTCTTTAGATTTGGTCAGGATAATTTTTTTGTTGTTTAACTAGTTTTATCTGAACCCAATATTTGATATCAAACTTTATTTCTTTGATTCTGTTGACTTAATACAGTTTCTTAGATTTATATTTCGCTTTTCATCTGCATGCTTATTTTCAAAGTAAAGTAATAATAGTAGTACTAATATAATAGTAGTAGAAGTAGTAGTAGTATCCTTATTATATTAAAAACATATGCTAAGGTGCATGGGTCATGTAGCTTTGACCAAGAGACAAAATCAGAAAATATAGAGTTTGAGGCAAAAATGTGCTATAGCCTATACACAAACCGCGTTAGTAAGATCCTCAGGCAATGTGTGAAAAGAGAGCTTCTAAACCTGATTCTTTCATTAAGTTGGTTTGTAACTTTTAACGATATATCTTTTATTTTTTAAGTTGAGGTTGCTTGATAAAGGCTCTAAATTCCTGTAAGTTCATATTGTTGTTGTGTTGATGGTGCTGTTGTTGGTGGTGCTGATGTTGTCGTTGGTGATGCTGATGGTGTTGTTGTTGGTGGTGCTGATGTTGTCGTTGGTGATGCTGATGGTGTTGTTGTTGGTGGTGCTGATGGTGTTGATGGTGGTGCTGATAGTGTTGTTTTTGG